AATAAGACAAAGCTAACTTCTTTCCTGATTAGAATATATCTAAATATGCAGTTGTTGTTAAGTACCATGGAATCGGTTCCGACTCATAGTAACCCTTACACAGGGTTTCTGAGGCTGTAAATCTTTACGGGAGCAGAAAACCTCATCTTTCTCCCGCGGAACAGCTGGTAGTTTCGAACTGCCAACCTTAAGGTTAGCAACCCGATTCGTAACCACTACGCTACCAGAGCTCCTTAAATATACAATAGGACACAACAATTATAGCAATCTACTTGGGACTATTATACAAGACAAATTTTAATAGACTATGAGGCAAGATGGGAAAGGCTGAAAAATAAACTGTGTTTACTATGACTGCTGGTGTGGTGCTGTCGATTAATGTGCTGGACTGCAAAGTCGGTGTGAACTGCAAGGTTGGTGGTTCAAGCTTACCAGCTGCTCCTCGGAAACCCTTTACAGGGTCACTATGGGTCGGAACCGACTCAACGGCATTAACAACAACAACAACACTATGGCTGCAACTATGCAAAAATATTCAGAGGTAAAAATGCCTAGAAGGAAACACACAAAAGTAATACATTTTAATAACACAAAATTAGAAAAGTTTCTTTTTGTTACTAGGTTAGTCTCCCAAATGCCTCATTGTCATTTAACTAGTCTGAAACCTAGAAGCTGATGCCATGTATTTGTGGTGGTTGTAACACGTCTTTCGTGCTTTCCTTATCAAGCAGTAGAAATGAATTCCTGTTTCCTTAGTAAGTGCCACTGAGTCAGTTCCGACTCATAATAACTATGCATAGCTGGGGTGGAGAACCTTTTTTCTGCAATTAATAACATAATTTGCAGGCCATATAAAATTATGAACTTAAAAATTGTTAAGTTGGTTTTTACTCATAACAACCTTGTATAGGGTTTCCAAGGAGTGGCTGGTGAGTTTGAACCACAGACCCTGGGGTTGTGGTTCAAGTGCTTATCCTAATTAGCAACTTAGAAATTAACCTGGTATATTTGGTCAAACATTTAATTAACAATGTGAAGGCTGGAACTGTAGTTGCCTTGGTAGGGCCACACCAAATGAGTTTGAAATCCACCAGCTGCTCCTCGGAAACCTTATACAGGGTAGCTATGAGTCAGAATGGACTCAATGGCACTTAACAACATATGGCCCATGGGCCGGACATTTCCCCACCCCTGCTGTGTAGGGTTTCAGAGGAGCAGCTGGTGGGTTTGAACTCCTGACCTTGTGGTTTACAGTCCAGTGCTGACCCTATAGCACCACACTAGGAGCTCACTGAACATATTTTAGGTTGTTGGATGAAAATTTCCCATGGGTCTTTTCCTCTTTTTTCACCCCAAGTGGTGGTGTTAAGTGCCGTCAAGTTGCTTCCGACCCATAGCGACCCTGTATAGGGTTTCCAAGGAGCAGCTGGTAAGCTTGAACCGCTGACCTTGCAGTTCAAACGGCTTTGCAGTCTGGTGCACCCCAAGTAGAGACACTGAAAACCTTTGTTCTCATTATAATTTCAAGGATGCTAATACAGTTAACCTTGAAAAACAAAGATAATTTCTTTCTCTGGAGCAAATAGCAACTTTGCTTACAGCCTTGGAAGACAGTGTCTTCCTCCAGCAGAATGGGCAAACATGCTTATTGTCCATTTAAAAATATTTGGGTTCCTTTAAGGTCAAGATCTGTTCTTGCACTTATGTGCAGGCATCCATCTGGGCCCATTTGTATTGTCCTGTGGGACTTGAGAACAAGGAGAACTGATGAAAATATGTGGATAATCATGCTCCTTGTTGTGCCAAGAATAAAAAATTCCTCAGTCTCCATCCCAGAGAGTCTTTCGTGTTATACTAGCATTCATGAAACTGCTGTGACAGGCTAACCTGTAACAGTGGTAACATCTTACAGCCTAGCTTATGAAAGACACTGCAGTTTCCTCCTTGCTTGTTTTCTCTTGGGCGAAACAGGCTGTCATATTGTGAGTACACTCAAGCAAGCATTTGGTAAGGTGCTGAGGCCTCCTGCCAGTAGCCATGGGACTGAGCCATCTTGGATATAGATTCTCTAGCCCCAGTCTAGCCATCAGGTGACTGGCAGACCCAGTGACATCCTGACTGCGACTACACATGGTCCCTGGGTTATGAACAAGATATAATCTTACGTGTATCTTCAAGTCAAATTTATAGGTAAATCAGAACAGGTGAGTATGATTCTTACTTAGCCCTGCTTCAATGGAAGAAAAAGGAGCCCTAGTGGTGGTGTGGCACTGTAAGATACACACTGAACTGCAAGATAGGTTTGAACCACAAGGTCAGTGGTTCAAGTTCATCAGCCTCTTCTTGGAAACCCTATACAGGGCCGCTATGAGTCAGAAACAACTTGACAGGACTTAACAACAACAAATAGTGTAGTGGTTAATGCATTCAGCTGCTCAACAAAACATCAGTGTTTCAAAACCAACAGCTGCACTACTGGAGAAAACCATGGTAGTCTGCTTCTGTAAAGATTTACATCCTTGGAAACCCTATGGGGCAATCCAACTTTGTCCTATATGGCCCCTATGAGGCAGAAGTGACTCAACAACAGTGGGTGGGTTTAGCACAAGAAAAGCTTGACAACATTTACCTAAAGACAAAGTTGAGGAGGATGGGAATGTGGATGGAATGAAACAGAAACCACAGGAAGGAAGCAGGTAACTCTTGTTGCATGGAAAGGACTACTACCATTGAGATGAAATGAGGTCTATGATTTGTTGAATGCAACACATGATCTTGTTTTTAAAATCTTAACTCAGTTCACAATAAAAAGTTAAAAAAGAAAACAAAGGAGGAAAAAGTCTTGAAAGATTTTTAACGATTGAAAAGCTGCAAGTGCAGCAAGCGAAAGTGATTGTGATGAAAACTTTGCTGTGAGGAGGGCTGGTTCAATCCAATTGTTTCAAAGTGAAACCAAATTTACTTAACATTAAAGGGCAAGGATAAGTAGTCAGAAGTGGAGTTGTTGGTAAGTTGAATGTTTATAACCTGGAATTGCCTGTGTTTCAGAGATCATGAACCAGAACCACCCAGCTATGCTGCTCCCAAAATCTTGACCCATAGAAATGAAGATATTAAATATTTCCTGTTTTAAGCCACTCAATTTTGGAATAATTTATTAATGCCATTGTTGTTGTTAAGCCCCATCAAGTTGGTTCCAATTCATAACAACCCTATATGGGGTTTCTGAGGCTGTACACCATTATGGAGCAGGAAGCCTCAGGTTTCTCCCACGGAGTGGCTGGTGAGGTCAAACTGCTGACCTTGTGTTCGCTGGCCAGTGCTTACTGTGTAGCAACACCACATTTCCTATTTTATGACATGTTGTTTTTGAGTGCTGTTGAGCTGATTTGACTCACAGTGACCCTGTATAGGGTTTCCAAAAAACAGCTGGTGGGTTTGAACCACTGACCTTGCAGATCAAACTGGTCTGTGGTCTAGTGCATTATCCTGAAGCGCCACATTAGGACACAAATTTATTACACTACTGTTGTCACTGTTAAGTGCCATCAAGTCAGTTCCAACTAATAACGACCCTGTCTAAGGTTTTCAAGGAGTAGCTGGTAGGTTTGAACTGCTCACCTTGAAGTTCAAACTGACCTTGCAGCACAGTGCATAATCCTGTAGTACTATACCAGAACTCCAATTGTAGTGCTGTACGATAAGCACTGGACCACAGATTGATTTGAACAACAAGTCAGCAGTTCAAACTCCTTCCTCGGAAACTGTATACTGAGTTGCTTTGAGTTTGAACCAACTCGATGGCACTTAACGACAACAATAGACAATATAAGATTAAATCTAAGGAACCAGTTTCTAAACCAGTAATATGAAACATAATACCTGTCAAGCTCTAAAACAAAGGTCACGTAAGATCTTTATATAACAAGTTTCTTGAGTAAGCCTGCACTTGTCTGTCAGTTTGTTGCACTGTGGTGGCTTGCTTGTTGGTGTGATGTTGGAAGAGTATTTTAAATGCCAGCAGGGTTACTCATGGTACACAGGTTTCAGTGAAGGTTCCAGACCAAGACTTTGCAGAAGTAGAGATGAACTACTTCTGAATGGTTAGTCAATGAAAACCTTATGAATAGCAGCAGAACACTGTCAGCTATAGTGCTGGAAGAAGAAAACATTGTGAATGGTAGCAGAAAGGTGTATACCAGCGTTGTATCCTTTCATACACTTATTCAATCTGTATGCTGGACAAATAAACTTCGTCTCAGTCCCTGGTGAAGGACAGTATGCTTGGTAAAGTGGAGGGTCAACGAAAAAGAGGAAGACCCCCAACATGATGGAGTGACACAGTAGCAGCAGCAATGGGCTCAAGTGTAACAACTGTGAAGATGGCACAGGACTGGGCAGTGTTTTGTTCTTTTGTGCACAAGGTCGCTATGAGTCAGAATTGACTTGATGGTACCTAACAACAAGAAGTCTAGATTCTGGCACTTAAAAAAAAAAAAAAATGTTTATAAAGACTACTACCCTGATTCAACACCTACATTTTAGTATTTGTGCCTTTGGAACAACATGTAAAGATATAAAATCTAGAATAATGGCTTCATTTTTAATATTCTTTACTAAATTAATATTATTAATATGTTTAATTATATTTAATATTACTAAATTAGATATTCTTTACTAAATCTAATAAAGTACTACATATTTCCCTTTTAGACCTGGTTCTTAGGTCTTCTGGGTTGACTAAAAAGATTAATACCTTTTAGGTACCAATCTCAAAATGAGATCAATCAATACCCAAAGAGGAACTGTCTCTGGAGTTGCTAAACTTTTACTGAATGCTACTTAACTATTTATTTTAAAGGCTCAAACAGTAAAGTCCTTTCTCAATTTAAAGTTACCAAAGTTTTGTTACCATACACACACACACACACATACCATTTACATTCTAGGATGGGTAAGGGCAATCACAATGTCAGAATGCATTAGGTTCATCAACCAACCTTTTCAAAACTATCTGCAGTATCTGTGTAGAAGTTCCAGGACTCTGAATGCTACTAGCATTAGAGACCAAGAAAATTTCAATAGCTAAGAGCATTTCAATCTCAGATAAGTAAGAAGGAATCAGTAGAAGTTTTCGGTATAAATTTCCTTCCAATGGTGGATAGCAGCCCAGAGAGAGAGCACCTGAAAATACAAAAAGAGATCATACTTTTTAGGTAAAAAAAACCCCCAGACTCTGAGGTGATTATTATTTATATCATAGAGGTATTTAGAAGCAGATTTATTACACAAATTATGGTAATGAGCTAATACTAGTCCACTTACAAATTTTTTTTTTCCTGTCCCAATACATTTTTTTTTTTTAAGTTAGGCTTTGGTTGACTATTTTAAAAAAGTTTTTATTGTGAATTATGTAGGTTTACATGGGAAAACATCAGTTTTACATTCATCCTATCGTATTTTGTTTCATTGCAATGATTACAATCCCCTCCATGCCTCATCAAATAACCAAAGGATACATCCTACAGGCCTGCCACCCCCCAGGTCTTCAGCACCCAGCCCATCTTGCTCCCTGAGTCCAGTGTCCCAGCCACTCCATCTGTCCATGTCATCGTCTCTGTCTCCATCCCTGGCATCACTGTCTCTCTGGGTAGGGTCATGCTTTCCACTTTTCTCACTTGATGGTCCCAGGGACCTCCGCACCTGGGCTGCAAAATCAATCACTCCCCTCCTTTTGTCAATAAACATCTACCTCTACATTTCAACCCTCACAGTCAGTCCTGATGGCAATTATTCACAATTGTACCACAAAAGTCTTATCCCTATTTCTTCTCGCCAGCCCAGTCCCAATAGATTGGAAATCATTCAGTGGAGGTTCTACCTATCCCTGCCCTGTCTGGAACTAGGCTCCGTCTTGAAAGCTTGTAAGCCAGTCATTTCTTGCCTTTATAGCCCCGCCCCCATTTTGGGTAGCCAATGTCTAAGCTGCCCATCCCTGTCAGCCCTGTGTACCGAGGGGGTGGAAATGATCCTCGCTGTAAAGATTCGTTCCCTCTTTTGAGCTACTGCATCCATAAGTATAGATTAAGTTCATCAAACTGTAGCAAATTACTCTCTTTTTCCCTCTTCTTTCTTCCTCTAGTCAAGTTCTGATCATCTAGCCATTGAAGTCAGGTCAAGTGGGTACTAACTGCAAGTATGGGTGTTCTTGTGCATCTCCCCTCACTTCATATTAGCTGGATGCTTTACTCTCTGCTCTAGTCCTTTGTGGCCATGTCACTGCCTCTGGGCCCAGGAGTTCCTGAGTCTTGTTGTACTGCTGGCCATCCTGGTTTCCATCCCGGTTCACAGGAGTCTATTGAATGTGGTTAGACCTAGATCTCAACTTTATTGCGGTTTTTTCCCATTCCTGTTATCGGTGACCAATGTGGTTACCAGCCAGACCACATGCCTGCTCATGTATCCCCTCGAGTCTTAGACTTGGAAGGGAGTTTGCTCTGAGGTGACCCAACCACTTGCCTTGATGGCTTCCAGGCGAACAACTTACTTGTTCTTGTAGTAATCAATCATACTGTTATTGTTTTTGAGTTTTCCTGCTGGTCTTTCTTCTAGCTGCTCCAGGGTGGTCTACTAATCCTTTCCAGTGGAAATTTCCCACCTCAGATAATTCTGGATGGGGTTCTGGTTTCCACCTATGGTCTTATGCAATGAAAAGCTCCACAGGAGGTCTCTTTAACTGGGCAATTTTTAGCCCCATTTAAGGTATTCCAGTCAGTTATAGGCTTAAGATGGACTTAAAACTTTTTTTTGTGATGTTTCTGGCTATTCCTTACCCCCAACTCAAGTGTCTTATTTCACAATGGTAGGCAAGGGAAACCAAGATTCAAAACACAGCCAAGCATCTTAACATTTTTACCCTTTCAAACCATGCCTCAATCCCTGTATCCCGAAGCCCTGTTGTTCCAAGGTTGTGCATATACCATCATTTACCTTTGTCCCACTTAGCCTAACTGTTCTCCCTCCCATCAGCCTTGTTCTTCTATTCCTCTCCCCCTACTTATGTATTGCCCCAGCACCCAAGCTTTCCTGTGTCTATTCCCTACCCTGTGCTCTAATTCTCCCTCCCTTCTTTCATCCCATACATCCTGATAATAAGCAATTATATATATAATGCTCCCCCCTCCCTTTGGGTGGATTCTTTTTCTTAGTCTTTTACAATAATGGTCCTATGCAGTATTTCTCCTTTTGTGACTAATTTCTCTCAGCATATTGTCCTCAAGGTTCATCTTGTTATGTGGTGGCTTGTAGCTTCCTTGTTCTTCAAGGTAGCATAATATTCCATTGTGTGTATGTACCACAGTTTGTTTATCCATTCTTCAGTTGATGGGCATTTAGGCTGTCTCCATCTTTTTGCTATTATAAATAGCACTGCAATAAACATTGGTGTGCATATATCTACTTGTGTTATGGCTCATATTCCAAGTAGAGGAATTGCTGGGTCATAAAGTATTTCTATTTCCAACCTTCTGAGGAAGTGCCATATTGCTTTCCAGAGTGGTTGGACCATTCTGCAACCTCACCAGCAATGCAGGAACGTCCCAGTCTCTCCACATCCTGGCCAGCATTTATTGTCTTCTACTTTTCTGATCTTTGCTGTTATTGCTGGTGTGAGATGATATCTCTTTTTTGTTTTGATTTGCATCTCTCTGATGGCTAGTGATTGTGAACATTTCTTCATATGTTTGTTGGCTGCCTGGATCACCTCCTTGGTGAAGTGTCTGTTCATTTCCTGTGCCCATTTTTTAATAGGGTCATTTGTCTTTTTCTTGTAGAGGTGTTATAGTTTCCTATATATTTTAGAAATGTCCCTTATCTGATGTGTCCTTGCAAAAGATTTTTCCTGTTCTGTGGGTTCCCTTTTAAATCTTTTAGTGGAGTCTTTTGATGCACATAAATTTTTAATTTTTAGTATGTCCCAATCATCTATTTTAGGAGGTCTGGTAGCGTAGTGGTTATGAATCGGGCTGCTAACCTCAAGGTCGGCAGTTCGTAACTACCAGGTGTTCTGCTGACGAAAGATGAGGCTTTCTGCTCCTGTAAAGATTTACAGCCTTGGAAACCCTGTGCAGGGTCACTATGAGTCGGAACCGACTTCACGGCACATAACAACAACAATCATCTATTTTATCTACTTTCATTTGTGTAATTTTCAAAATGTTTGGTAGTCTGTGTATACCCTGAATTAGAGACAGGCTTCACATTTGTTCCTATTTTTTCATTGATGACCTTCATAATTTTGGGAATAACATTTAGGTCTTTAATCCATGCTGAGTTCGTTTTTGTATAGGGCGCGAGGTAAAGGTCTTGTTTCAATCTTTTGCATATCGATTTCCAGTTCTGCCAGCACGATCTGTTAAACAGACTATCTCCTTCCCATGTAATATACACTAGACACTTTGTTGAAAATCAGTTGGCTGTATGTGGATGGGTTAATTTCTGGATTCTCGATTCTGTTCCATTGATCAATGCATTTTTCATTGTAACAGTACCAGGCTATTTTGACCACTGTAGCCATGCAGTAAATTGTGAAATCAAGGAGTGAGAGGCCTCCAACCTTATTCGTCTTCTTAAGCAGTGCTTTGCTTATCCTGGGTCTCTTTCCTTTCCATATAAAGTTTGTAACTGTCTTTTCCATCTCTTTGAAGAATGTTGTTGGAATCTGGATTGGGATTGCATTGTATGTGTAAATTGCTTTGGACAGTATTGACATTTTCATGGTATTGAGTGTTCCTATCCAGGAACATGGTATGTTCTTCAACTGCTGTCTCTTTTGGTTTCTTGTAATGTTGTTGTTAGGTGCCATCGAGTCAGAACCAACTCATAGCGACCCCATGGCACAGCAGAACGAAATAATGTCCGATCTTGGGCCAACCTCACTACCACTGCCACACTTGAGTCCATCAATGACGCCACCTGGCCAATCCATCTCGTTAGGGGTCTTCCTCTTTTTCTCTGACCCTCCACCTTACCCAGCATGACATCCTTCTCCAG